AGTGAAGGAAAAAAAACCATATAGCATCAATGAAGCAAGAAAATATAGGCTAGGTCCCTATCCAGACAGCTGCTGCCAGGGAACTCATCACTTCTGCATTATGAAACAAAATTTTTACGCAGAAGCCAAAAATAGTATTTAAGAATAGAAGACTGATTGTCACTATTAATTCAACACTTCACAGAGCTACTCCAAAAGTTACCTACCAGTACCTCTAAAGATCAGGTTTCAGCTATTCTAAATTAAATAGATAGACTGAAAAATACAGAGGGGGGAAAACTGGAAAACCTGCATTTGGATTTTGCACAGCCTGAAAGCTGCAGTACTTTAACAGTTCCACATTCCTCAAAGCCCTACTTTGTAGCTACTTACCTGATCAGTACAGACAATGAATTTTAAGGTACACTGAGCAAGTCAGATTCACTAATGACATTTTCTAACATACCAGGAGCTGTCACCCTTTTTAAACTACAGCATGATTTTAGAGAAGCTGGCTCCCAAAGCATCCCTCCTCATTCAAGGTAGCTTGTTCCAAAAACGCAGTGAAAAAAGCAACTTATATTCAAACTGAAGATCGTCATATTTTCTGTTACTCTTAAGTTGAACACAGCACACACGAGCCACAATAAAAGACTGAAAGACAAACCACTTACGGTAATTTCATCCTCATGAAAACTCTGGCCATGAAGAAGCTCAAAAGCACACTAACAAATCCAATAAAGAGCAAAAGAAACCTATTCAACTTGGGGATATTTGGTGCATTGGATCGATCCAGAATTATGAATCCTAGGCCACCCATTGTGAAGAGGAAGCTGGATGCAAGGCCTTCCATAATGTACTGTCCATTTACTCTAAAGGAGAAAAAAAACAGGTGAAAAGAGTCAGAAAAAGATTAAAGAAATTATTTACATTCCAAACCCCATCTACTAAGCAGGCTTTAGCTGTACAAACATGCAGGATGATTAACTTTGATGGCTAACTTTCTAACTAAAGCAAGTAGGAAAACGTTATACAATTACATCACGACATTAACACACAATTTATGTTCAGAACCGAGTCTGCAAGGTGCCCAGTGCAGCACACAGGAGGATTTATACATATTTGTGCATACCAACAGCTGCCACCCAGCTCAATGGTTTGCAAAACCACCTAGTCCAAGGAGGTCCCTGGTTATCCAGATGATCCCAAGGCATGGCACCATGACGCTTTACTTGCATCCCCATGTTTAGGCAGGACTGCCTCAATCCTCCTCTCAGGACAAATTCCACTCAAAGCACTACAGCAGCACGTGAAGCACATCTGCTGTGCCAGCACACACCCTGCAGGATGTTCTGCTGCCTGCTTGCTGAGCCTGCATGGATCCATTGCAGGCATCTGGGGGTGCTCCTTGGGGCTCTCTGTCAGCCCAGACAGCTGGACTTCCTTCTTACAAATAGAAGGAGATGGAGACTGAGGAAGCTGAGATGCAGAAAGAATATTGCACCTGGACCACGAGCCTCCTGCTTCCCACAGTCACTGAGCCATTTTCTCATCCTCCTAAATAGCAACCTCATAAAACTGGCATTGATGAACTACAGTGGATGGCTGTACAGAAATAAAGATTATCATTACTGCCTCATATCCTGGAAACAAACAAGTTTGTCTTCTCTCATCTTGTTCACACTGACAAATGACACTGCTAACTCCCTGCAGCAACTTGATTCATCAACATTGCAACAAGCCAACCCAGTCTAAAGCACACATCTAGTCCAAGCCAAAATCTGTCACATCAACCATGTCACAGACCTCACCGATTCAACCAACTTTTCTGGTATTTAATAAAAATCATTATTTGTTTCCACACACATAGATTCCCCCCACCAGTTACAGAAGCAGACTTAACTCTCTTCAGACCAGTTTGTTACTAGGAGTCTCTAGCTCATTTTCAGTAAGGGATTGAAAGCCAAGGGCACTAGGAAGACCCTGTTGTTACACATTTATAACAATGTTCCCCGCCAGAATCCCAAGTACACTGGAGTTTAAAACGTAAGAAACAAGATTCCCAAACATTAAATATTCTGCAACAAAAATGGATCAAATGTATCTGCATCCAGTACAGAGCTCAACCTGACTAGCAAGAAAAAGAAGTACTGCCAGCCCAAACCAATTTCTTTTTACCTTTCATTTTTAAAAGTTTTAGGACTTAGTTGTTTCAATACTGGTTTGATGGGGTTTTCATAAAAAAACAAAAAATAGTTCTTGGCAAACCAAGAACTGATATAAAACAACTCCTGCCTTGCAGAGAAAGAAGGGAAGGGAAGGGAAGGGAAGGGAAGGGAAGGGAAGGGAAGGGAAGGGAAGGATACCCAGCTCGGCAAGGCGGGGTTTATTCCCTTGAGCTGAGGCATTTGCAGCACGCCGCTGGTGGAACAGGGCCCTGCTCTTACCTGTATGCCAAGAAAGCCACCGGCCTCTGATGCCCGTGTTCGTCTGTCATCGAGCCCACGCTCGGAGGTTCCACGATCACGTCATAGATAATTCCTGCGGGGGGGAAAGCAAGCACGGACTTGGACCCGCAGCAGCGAGAGCCGCCCCGACACGGCGGGCACGCTGGGGATGCCCGAGGCTCGCGTTTTACGGGCGGTCGGACCCGGACCCGGGCTCAGCCGCGGTTCTGCCACCCGGCAGGGACCGAGGGAGAGCTGCCCCGTGAGCGGGGCCTCCCCTCCAGCCCGGCCTCACCTCCGGTGATGAGGAAGTAGGACACGACCACCAGCGCGTACACGGTCATGGCCGAGGGCATGTGCACCCAGCTCGGCCGCTTCAGCTTGATGTTGGGGCACTCGAGCACGGCGAAGGGCAGGCGGTACAGCGTCTCCATGGCCGCGGTGCGGTCCCGGGGCGGCCGCGGCCCCGCTGCTCCCTGCCGGCGCTGTCCGCTCCCTCCCGCCGCGGCCGCGCTCGCCAGCGACACGAAGGCGGAAACGGAAACGGGCTGCCGCGTCCTGGCAGGGGGAAACGGATCCCTTTCTAAAGGGACAAGCTAAACAAAGCACTAGAAACTTGCGACCAGGCTTAAATGACAGATTCAGAGGGGTTTTTTTTTGTCTGCATAAGGACATGGAAACACCACCAGTCCGCCGGCCAAGCGTTTATCGCTCTTACTCACCTGCCAGGACCCGGCAGCCCTGACGTGTCGGCGCTGGGTACTTGCTCGGGGGGGCGTGGCAGAGGGCGTGGCGTGGCGCAGGCCCCGCCCCCAGGCTGGGCAGCCACGTGGCCGCCGCGGGCCGCGCGTGTGCTCCGGGTGACACCGGCCCCGCCCGCCCGTCACCGCGGGACACCGCCAGCCACCTGCGGGACACTGCCATCCTGCCAGCCACCTGCGGGACACTGCCATCCCGCCCGTCACCCGAGGGACACCGCCAGCCACCTGCGGGACACTGCCATCCCGCCCGTCACCCGAGGGACACTGCCCGCGGGCCACTCGCGACCAGTGACACCGGCGCCGCAGCCCCTGCCACGGGGTAGGAGCGCCCTTTGGACACCCTGTACTGATGCAGTTTTCTGGCGGGAGGAAGAAAAAGCCACGTCCCGCGTGTGAAGTTTGCACAGTGGGGCTGGGGAGATGCGGACCCGGGAGCAGACAAAGTCCCGTAGCAGGCCTTACGCCAGTCCCTGTGTTTGCACGGGAGCGTGGGGCTGGGATGCCCCTTGGGTGCACCATGGGATGCGGTGGCCATCCTGACCCCCAGGCAGAGGTCACACAGAGCTTCTTCCTGTGAAGAAATCCTCAGGGAGGTACAACTCCTTTCACCGTGCACAGTATTAAGTCACTTATCCTGCACCAGAGCCACCTCCTGCTGTCACAGCCAGGAGGCAGCTGAGTTGCCAGGCACCTCACCCAAAGCACCAGCTCAGTGCCACCAGAAGGGCTTTGCGACCCAGCCTTCTGTGCTCTGTCCCTTGGCTGACGGTACAGCTGAGAGCTAGACAGGGTAAAAAGGCAGCGTGCACTCAGGAGCGACCTGCACACGTGAGCCACAGCCTGAGCAGACTCCACAGGTGACCTCAGAAACCCCTTCCAGTGGCACTCACAGCTCCCAGTAAGCCTGTGTGCTCAGTTATTATTTCTCCTCCTCCCTTACTCTCATGGTGGAGCTCACTACTTTTTGAAAAAATAGTTATTGGTTAAAAACAGGTAAAAATAGATGCCTGTCAGATACTAAAACCAGTTTGAAATTTAGAGTTGGGGCTGAGAATACGACTGCACATACAGGCAAAGCAAGAATTATCCTGACTGCGATAGTACTCTCAGCGTTAAGGGACACATTTACAGTTCTCTACAAAACAGAATGAAGCAAAGCCACTTTCACTTTTTACATTACAATTACATCCTTGGTGATAAACCAACAACCTTTGGTTCAAATTTCAACACCAACAGCCCAAATTGCTACTCTGAATCAGGAAGCCTTTAAAGGTCCGTCCTAGCTGCGCCCTGGAGCTCTGTTGGTATCATACCTGTAACTGCTGACCCAGGAAGACCTAACAGGATACAGCAGCTGCAGTTTTCTTCCAGGAGATCCAGATGTAGCAGCAGGCAACTGTCTGGTGGCTACAGCACTGGCTTTGAGAAGTTAAGACTATTCTCTCCACCCTCACTTAATACCACATACAATTAAAAAAAAAAATCTACCTTAGGCTTATACTAAGCTGTCCTCTTCTGTTTGCTCTTCTTTTTCAAAGTCCTAATTTTCTTCTGAGCCAAGTCCTCCAATGACTTCAAAAACAGCTGCTGCCAAGAAAACCTGCACTGCTGAAAATTATTCCAATCCCTCTGCATGACTGAGCCTGAGCTGAGAGTCCTGTTTAACCAGACTTCCTTCCAGCAGGCAGCACTGAACAGAGCATCCTGACTTAGAGGTTCTGTTGCAGCAAAACCCAGCTCTGCGCTCTACAAACTGCAAGAAGCAGCAGCTCCTGGCAGCTTTGAGTCACACATGGAATGACAGGACACAAGAGAAGTGGAGATTTTATTTATTGGGCTGAAACTACAAATAGATTCACTTTGACTTCTGGCTCTGTGCTTGTGCCTTCAACACTTTCACAACGATCTTCTGCTCCTCGATAAGAAAAGCTCGTTTGATCCTGGAAAAGAAAAACTACTTTAGGATATGTGTCTACCTCCTGAAGTACAAACACAAAAATAAGACAAATTACAAATAATTTTGCCATCTCCCACATTCACTGCACATGTGGTGTTAGCTCCACAGTTACATAAAAAGGGAACCCACTGCTGTTCTTGCCAGCAGCCAAAGACAGGGACAGTAGCACTGCATGAATGCAGCAGTTTGGGGATGGCGGCCTACAGTGCCTGCAAATTTAGGGTAAGTGGCTTGGAGGCAAGCAAGGTAATACCTGATGGCTGAACATGGGAAAATTTACCATCCTCACAACTTTTGAAGGCAAAAAGCAGAACTCCTAACTGGAGAATTAATTTAATTCTGTTGAAGTCAGAATTGATGTGACGAGTTGTGGTCAGCTCTCTTCCTCAGAACTACAGGACACTACATGCATCCAGTTATCAAAAACAGGAATACTTTCCCTGTCAGGATTAAAGCTCCTTGCACATCAACAGGGATAAAAGCCTAGCAGGTCAAGTTGTGCCAAAATACGACTGTTTCTGGAAGACATGCAGGGCCACCAGGCAGATGGGACAGATCCGTGCACCAGCACTCACACACCAACAGACTACTGGATGGTTCTGAGCCAACAGCACAAGTGTGTCACACACACTCTTGTAACCTTAAACATTAAAATGCCTTCTGTCAGTGTCTGGTACACATGGCTACTTCTGCAGTACAAACCTCTCAAAGATGCCTAAGCAGGTGCAAGAGAAAACCTGACCATTACAGGAAAGGAGGTGGCTGTAATTTCTGGTTAAGGCACAGTAAGAATAAAACATACTGATGCACTAAAAACTCCCTATCGAGTTCATGAAGGGTTTGAGAAAACACTCAGGGAAAAAAGTGGCTTTTAACACATGGCTCTGCAGCTGTAACAGCTCATCTTCAGTGGTGCCTAATGTAATTTACCTTAGAACTTACACATGCCAAGATGAAAAAAAAAGGCTGGCACTACAGATGAAAAAAACCTGGCATTAGACTGCTGACCCCAGAGATCTGCTTTGTTTACCCTTCACAGAGATGACACACTCATGGTCATGTTTTTCCTCAAACTTGCCAAGGAAGCATAGGACATGCAATTGCTACTCAATAAAACTGAATTCAGTGAGGCCTGGCAAAGGCCATTTTAAAGCTTAACCACATAAAGCTGTTTAACACACAACCAAGTAATACCTGTGAATCCCAGAACACTACAAAGAGGAGAAAAATTCAATTAAATCTACATAAGGTAACAGGACAGGACAACAGAACAGAATAATCTTTACTATGGGCAGTCAATACAAAAGATAAAAATCCAGCATGAGCAGACTGTTTAGTATCAGTGCAACAGTGCAGTAAGAAATCCTGAAGAACATGAAGTCTCCACAAAAGAGCTCCACACGCAGGAACTCCCTCAAATCCAAGGGACAAAAATCCCACACATCACTGTTTGAGGTGCCCCACACTCACACTCTCCATCTCAGACAAAAGCCTTCAAAGTTTGGGAGAGATGTAAAAATTGTGTAAGAAGCAATCCAAGGAATAAAGCTGGCTTTCTGCAGATTACCTGTCACGGACACACTTGGCGCACATGGAGCCGCCGTAGGCTCTGCTGACGTGCTTCTTCGTTTTTGACAGCCTCATCAGAACTTTGGGGCGCACAGCACGGACCTACAGACAGCAAAGAATAAACAAGAGTGTCATGGCACAGCAATAGAAAAATCCAACATCGCTTTCCTAACTGAAAAAGAAAAAAAGAAGGCAGCAACATCTGAAGTTAACTATTCAAGATGCTAAAAAGTGACTGAGGTCACAGCTCACTGCATGGACCATCCTCAGCATTCCCAAGCTGATCTTTTCATTCCACCACAGGGGTTCAACAAGAGGGTCATTAAAACATTGCTTGTAAAAAGGACTGGTTTTTTTTAAAGACAGGAACTGCTCAAAGATCAACATTACTCAAGCATTCCCATAACTGTTAAAAGCTACGGTGTTAATTCATGAAAACATTCTGAAGAAAAATAGTTAAGAACATTAATTCCTTTTCTTCTAAATACTTTATAAACTTGGCTTACCCTTTTTTTCCACAAGTCTAGTATGTCCAGTTTATGTTTTTAAACCTGCTATAGAATTGCCCTGTCTATTTTTTTAAAAAAATCACATTTTCTAAAACAAGAGTTTATATTTAATAATAATGCAAACCAAGAGCATTAAAAAAAAGTTTGGCCTTCCAAAGCTTATTTTGCCATTAAACTTTACAACATTTGATTTGAATATTTTAAAGAAAAAGGTTATTTCAACAAGAACTGGTCGATACAGACCCATTGTATATTTGGAAAGGCTCTTTGTCCTGAAGAAACGCTGCAGCAGAGAAACACCCTTAGGTGTTTATAATCATACTCACACCACGAAGTCTTCCTGGGCAAATCCCACATGCTGACTTGGGGGCCTTTCCCACTTTCTTGGTGTAAAGGTAAACAATCCTGTTCCCGGGTGTTCGGGACCTAGGCACAGCAGGAAAACATTCCGTTAACACAACAATCGAAAGTGAAGCGTCACCTGTTTACTACAGAAGTTATCTTGCACACGGCCATACTTACAGTCTGGTCTTGTTGGAAGCTGTGTTGTAGGACAACCTACGGCGGTACGTCAGGCGCTGCACCATTTTTCACCCCTAAATAAGTCAAAACCAAAGCGGCGCTAGTTAAGAACTCGATGTCCACAGAGGAATCCACATCTTACACGGTCACCCGTACAGAGCCAGATGTGAATCAGCAGCTGCCGATTCGACATTAATAAAACTAAAGCCTTTGCTGATCAGCGACACCGGCAGAACTATATTAGAGAACAACAGATGGCGTGACAGCGGGCACGACGCGATCCGCAATGAAGATTCACCCGAACCAACCTGAACACTGCTCAAACATCCTAGTCCTGCCTGGATTGTGCCACGCTCCCCTAAGGAACTGCTTAAAGCTTTAGCAGCTCCGTATTTTACAGTCAACATAAGCTTCATTCGCAGCCCCGGGAGACGCGGGCCCTACTCGGGAGCCCCACCGCGGAGGCCTCGGCAGGCCCGGCCTCTCTGCCCCCCGCTCCAGCCCACGCGCGGGCAGCAGCAGCGCGGCCGGTCCATCCCCACAGCCCCTCGGCGCCTCGCATCGCGCTCGCCGCCCGCGGTGCCGGGGATGGAGGCGGATGGGCGCCCACAGCCCTCGGTCGGCCCCCGCCATACCTGGCGCCGCCGGACCCGGAAGAGGAAGCGGAAGAGCGCGGGGCAACATTGTAATAGCGGCGCGCTGGAGACCGGAAGAAATCGCAGCGCCTGCGCACTGAAGTCCGTCTACCAGGCAGGGTGGCTAGTGGGCACCGCCATGTTGTACGGCACGGAGGTGCCAGGTGGCGCCATGTTGTACGGCTGAAGCGGGGCGGGGCGCCGCTCGGCGGCGGGATCGGGAGCCGGGGCAATGAGGGCCACGGGTGCCCCGTTTTATTTATTGTGTGTTTTACTGAAAAAACTCTTTGACTAAAATATCGGCTTCTGTCCTGAGAAATAAGGGTTTGTGCTTCATTATGGTAATTACGTAGCTGTGGGCTCAGAAGCCGTTCCCCATCCTGCTGTTCTAAGCTCTGAACTACAAGTCACTCATACAGGATTTTCCACAGCACACTGGCACGTGGCACACCTGGGAACCGTGTGTCTTACACAAAACTTCCACAAGGAAAGGCTGGTCCCACAGGATCCCTAGAAAGCCTTGCTCGGAGCATTGCAGGGCTGTCCTTGCCTGGCTCCGTTCCCCTCGAGATGCCCTCGCTCCTGACCAGCACTGGACTTCCTGGGCACAGGACCAGGCAGAGAGGCTGATCCCGAAACTGCTCCTCTGGAAAGGTACCCAGTACCCACAATCTGCCTGACACCTCCTTGCTGCACTCACTCTGCCACGTGCTCCGGAGCAGGCGCTCACACAAGAGCATGAAGTTATAAACCTTTCCTGCTGGTCAGGTCACAGGTCCGCCTGACTCAACCTCCCACTTCCAGGCCACAGGTACCTAGGAAGACCATAGGGAAAAAAATGACATGGCTAGTGGAACTCTCCCTTAATACATCCTCCCTGCGTTCATCCGTCAGCATCGTCCAAGTGTCCTGAGCTGGATCACATTTTCTGACCTTAGATTATCTCAGCTGGTGTGAGCATGGTGCTGACAACACCAAGGTTGTGGGTTCAATCCCTGTATGGGCCGCTCTCTTAAGAGTTGGACTCAGTGATCCTTGTGGGCCCCTTTGAACTCAGAATATTCTGTGAAATCTATTTAATAGCCTCTGGTAGGCCCCTGAGAAAAGAAAAGAAAGGAAATGTCCAAAGCTAAGGGACTATAGAATGGCTTGTCAGTAGCCAGAAACAGCATTCCAGTGGTGCCAGATCTGCTACATTAAAGCCTTAATGCACAGAAGGTACCTCTGGCAGCCCCTCACCTTTTCATTAAACACTGTGTTGATAGGAAGGAAAGGAGTAACACTCTCTGGACTACACTTCTCCCAGATGTTTGTTTCAGCTCCAATCCCACACCCTGGTCCGTGCCAAGCTGAGGAGCATGTTGACAAGCAGAGCTGCCTCTGTGTTCTGAAATCAGCATCTGGCCTCTGCTATCTATATGTGACCTTACTAATGGATCTGGATCCCGCCCCACCACCTGGCTCTGACACATGAAAGACCAAGAGGTTTTAGAGCAGACTTTTCATGGCAGTGTTCCCACTACCACACCAAGTCCTCCTTCTCACAGTGCATGTGAGTGCCTTGTGGCTGCTGCCATAATTGATGCTTGCTCGCACAGTCCAAATCTCCATGCAGCATCAATGGGAAATCACTGTCTGCAAGGAGGGTGGGGTTGGCCCCACTGTCTGTGAGCCCTCTGATGCTCTTTTGCTCCTGAGCACTGTTCCACGGTCATACTCAGAGACCCACACATTCAGCATGTAGGGTGCTGCTGCTGCCATCGTTAGCGGCTTCAGCTCTGCTTTTGGAGATTAGCAGGTGCTCAGAAAGCTTTGATGTGTGCTCTTGGCCTTATTTATGTAACTCACAGTTTGTTGTACTGCATCCTCCCTGTTTTCAATTTATAATTATTATTTTAGTTAATTATTGACTCTTTTTAAGTGCAAATCATGGACAACAGAATTATTTTTTAATTCATGAAAGAAGAGAAAATATGTATGAACTAGATTTTAGAGTATATTTAAAATAGGAGCATATTTTAGAAGACAAGTAAATTTCAGAGCAATTAGAGTATTTAACATGAACTTTCTAGGCCCAGAACCCTGAGGGGAATAAGAAAGCCAATTAAATTAGATTAAATAATCGTGCCTAAATATAAAAGTGTAACAGAATCCAATTGTTAAAGAACAACACTATTAAATTATGATAGAATAGTTTAGATGTTGTCAGTGCAACAGGTAACTATTTGATTATTGACAATAGTATTGATACGCTTTTGAATTTACCCCACTTAGGCTCTAAACTGAACTGTGTAAGTTTTAGAAACTGCCAATTAAATTCCAGCCATTTGCTTCTGCTGATGTACTGGCCTCGTTTTTCAAGCATTTTCAGTTCTTTTCTTAAGAGGAACAGGGCTATCAGGCAAACGGCTCACCAGAGCATCTGGAAATGTTAGCTTAATGACAACTGGTTTAATGCTATCTAATGTGGGGATAAGATTTGAAGCAGAAGCTCACTAAGCCCATTTTGTACAGATTAGTCGAGTGATTAATGTTCTCTGCTACTCCTACCTCTTCACAGGACAAAACGTCTCTTTTGGGAGCAGTCATTTTCCACATCCAACATGTCTCATTAACTCTTTCTGCGTTTTCTTCTTCCCTTGAGTGCAGCAAAGGGGATGGATTAGCAAATGCACAGCCCAACAACGTGGAAAAGTAACAGTGGCATCCTATAAAATCCATTTTTTCTCTTCCAGGATGTCAGTGGAAGCATAGCACTTGAGGTTGTGGGCCTTTTCATTGAGAAAACTGGAGGCTGGCTTTCAGGGTGTACTTGCTTATCGGCAATGCAAAACTGTAAACCTCTTTTCCATCACATCCAATTGGAAGGATAATAATCTCTGATGGCAGTTTAGGAATGGAATGTATTTTGCACCAGCCAGCAGGCTGTCACCATATTCTGTTTAATGCATCAGAAAGACGCTTTGTTCACAGTTTAATACCAATTCTTGGCATGTTGACCATCCCTTCTTTCTTTTCCACATGGTCCTGTCTTGATCTCTCTTTTTACTGAAATCCCCTATCTATGTGCATGACAACTTGCTTGGTCACATGGAAAGTTCCAACAGAGTAAGAATGAGAGTTCCCAAAGGCAAAAGGCTTGATAAGCCTGTCTGGATTCCCGTATACTTTCCTCACACATTTGTACCACTTCCAGGAATCTACCAGGCCCCAGGAGGGTTCCACTGACCCATTAATTTCTCTTCATGGATCCCTCTAGGGCTTTTCTCCACAATAAGCTTCAATTAAAAAATGAGACGTTTTCACTCATATTCACTTGCTGTTGTACCAGTCCAGACTGGCAAATTCTAAGAGGCCTGGGAAGGAAAGCAAACCTGTGGGCAAGCACATACTGGATGCTGCAGAGGGGAAAAGATGGGATGGCTGAGAGGTGTGGTGCTCCTGGTAAGTCACAGGCAGGATACTGTTTCCATGAACAGTGTGTCAGTACGTGTTTTAGAAATGTCTCACTGAAGTCAGAATCCAACCTCAGGTGCTGCTTGGATACAAGCAACAGGCTTAGATCCATAAATGTGGAAAGGAAGCAAGAAACCTTGGAATAATATTAGCAGTTGTTGGAAAGGGAAGAAAGAAGATGTCCTTGGCTCTACTGTCTCTCCAGAGCTGATTTTTTTTCTTAAAAATCTCATTCCCTTTCCTTGTTAACTATGTGGCATGTGTCGCAATCTGATTATACTAATTTCTATCAACATAACCTTCCACAACACAGACCTGTGCAAATTACGTTATGAGAAGCTGTAGTTCATTTCCATTTCAGTGGAGCTTGTTAAACAAGCAAAATTATTTTGTAGCAAAGGGAAAAACAATTTAGTGGAATGCAGTCCTAGCATAGGAAGTACATAATATCGTATTTGGGTTGAAACTTTTTCTGTCAAAAATGTCATAACCCTGTAAGAAAGAGAATTAAAATCCCGTTATTTTAATTTACATCTAGCCACGAGATAAGTAAAGTTATCATTGAAATTCTAATTAAATAGGATGATTGACTAAGGTAGGACATCAAAGAAGAGAAGTGAATATGATAAGTCAAAGTCTTATTAATTAGTCCGCGTGGAAGAAATTCCAGGGACGTCAAGCTGAGGCTGCTGCAAGGAGAAAAAAAGCAGACAAGAAAATGTGTGTTTCTTTGAAGTTAGGAACTGAGATAGTGATGGAGGTAATTGTGTCTGACTGGATCCAGTAATGAAGAGCCGTAAATCAGACCTAGGAATCGGAGGAAAGATTCTAGTAACGAATGTGGCTGCCCCCCTGCTGCGAAGAAACAGAATGCAGAGCTGACTAATTGACCCAGTCTATCTCCCAGTAGCTCTCTGTTATTATTTATTAATTTTTAATTTCTGAATTATTTACGTTCTGGGAAATTATTTTTGACAGCCTGTTAGGCGTGCCAAAGTTAATGGAGGATGAAAGGACCGGTACTAGAATTAGCAGGGATGTAGTCACAGGCTACTGAATTTAATGATTTT